AGGCGGAGTTGGGGGGTCCCCCCCCCCCCCCGGGCCTGGGCTGCTCCGCTGGAACACAAATTTTTTTTTTTCCCCCTAGCCTTGGGCTAGGCTCATGGGTGGAATGGCCCTAAGTAGTCTCAGATTCGAACCCAAATAAAACCTCTCCTTCCCTCCCCTTCCAAACCCTGAGAAGAAAAAAGACTAGGTAAAAAAGCCCAGGACCAAATGTGCCCCGAAACCCAACCAAATTACCACTTGGGTTAAGCTTGTGAGTTAGGAGCCTCCCTAAACGGCTAAACTTGACCCGAATTATGTAAAGAATCCGAATCCGATTAGCTTGATCTGACCCGATTATAAGTGCCACCCCCGAAGGCCTATCCGCTTGTCCCTGGTGAACCCATTTGCTCTGCAATGACATTGCTGCTCTCATCGGTGAATTAATGGCGGAGATGAAGAGTTTCAAGACAATTGGGGTCGTGGGTAGCGGCCAAATGGGCTCTGGAATAGCCCAACTCGCCGCAACGCATGGCTTTGACGTTTGGGTCCTAGACACCGACCAAGACGCTCTCTCCAGAGCCACCAAGTCCATCTCTAGCTCCATCCAGCGTCTGGTTTCCAAAGGACAACTCAGTCAGGTTGGGAACTCTCTCTTTACTTTGAAGTTGCAAAGAAAGTGGAAGAATAAGAAATGAAAAGGAGAGATAATTTTGCCACATGATGTTGATGTTGAATTTGTTGATAAATTGGAAAATCAGTTAAGTTTGAGCTAGAGGGTTGTAGCGGCCCTGGTGGGTAAAGTTTAGTTTTTTATTTGCTAGTGAATTTAGTGATTTTTAAAACTAGTTGTTGGTGGTGTGAGTTTTATTCTTTATATGCTTCCTTACATGATGGGCTGAGCTTCCATTTGTCATTGATTTTGTGAACTGCTGTGAGTCGATGTCATGAGTACCTTATACTTGCTTAGGCGGAAGCTCGATGTACACTTTTTTTCTATAATTTTATGCCTTACATAACTGTGACTCGGTGTTCTTTGGCTATGAGTAATGTGTGGTGAGAATTGTAAATGTCTTTAAGTTATGAGAATACGGCAGGGGTCCACGTACCCATAAGCGGTAAGGGGCAAACACGTGTTGCAGGCAAACCTCAAAAGCTCTGGTTGAAAATTAACCGAACCCTTGATGATACTAGTGGAGGTATATATGTACACAGCCAAGAGGATTTTGTCTGATAAGGGTGCAAAACAACTTCAGCTTCACTAACCTGAGAGTCAGGTATTTCATTCTTACTCTGTCTGGATATATATCCACTTTACAGAGTTCTAACTGGAGCTCTACTTGATTAGATTGTTTGAGTTTGATGGGCATTGTCTTCATCTGAGCTTCTGGTAGTTTGAGCCATTTCCAGCTACGAATTAACCTTGTTGATCATCACCGTTTCAAAGTCTCGCATTTTACCCTTTTCAATGAAAGTAAAGTTTGTAATATGCTCCTTTAGTTGAGTTTTCCTTATCATCTCATTTCCCGATTGAAGATGGTGTCTTCTTCAAGTAAATCAGCATTTGTTTTATATAAATTTGGAGAATACTGAATTAACTTATTAGCAGTGGAATTCAAGCTGTTCCAAAGTTTTTGTTTTATGACGGCCTTATTTAGTTATTGTTGAAGAACTATATAGTTACAATCAGTGCTACTTTGATCATATGTATAGAATGAAAGGAAACCATACACATGTTCACACTCCCGCACACCCACAAAATTAGGGCTTGCATGCACAGATCACACAGGAGAGAGAGCTTTGGGGTTCAGTTCTTAAGAACTTGTCAGTGCTACTTTTGTCCTGATGGCTCTTCACTAATTGTTCTCATGAGCTACTCTCAAGCATCAGTTGATTAATGCTGTTATATTCTTGAATTATAAAGGGTACCAAACTGGATAGTGTTAACACCTAAAATGTTGGCTTCAGCCAACTCATCTGGTTCTATCTTTGTGTTTGTGTTCTATGACAGTATCGGGAATTGGAACCATGGTGAGTACTTGTCGAAAAAATATGTGTGTGTCTGTGTGTATATCTAGATTTAAATAAAGAACAATTTCAAGCTGAATGGAATCCTGAGGAGGAATTGCATTTGAAGGCTTTGCTGTGAAAATGGTTTATCCTAGGAAATAAACCGTATTCAATTTTAACACTTCACTAAATCCTGCTTAAAAGGGATATCTTAGCATTTATCTTTGAGACAGGGATGACACTAACTGAATAGTTTTGCAGCTAAGCTACAATGGTGAGCTCTTGGCATACCTGAATTCAGAGTAAAAAACCACTGATGAAAAAGAAATGTTTCCTCTGTGATTTGAGATCTGTCATATGTGCATTATATAAACGAGAGCTTGTTTCACTGTAAGGGTGGGAAGTTTAACAAATCAGTCCATTTCTTTTTAACAGGCTGTAGGTAAAGATGCTTTGGAACGTCTATGGTTTACCTCAAACTTGGAAAAGCTTTCTTCGGCAGATATAATTATCGAAGCTATTGTGGAATCTGAAGATGTGAAGAAAAAGTTATTTCTTGAGCTAGATAAGATCACAAAAAGTTCGGCCATACTGGCATCTAATACAAGTTCCATCTCCATTACTCGCCTTGCGTCAGCAACTAGCAGACCACACCAGGTTATGCTCGGAATATGCTTCTTCTTTTTATCCTGAGATTATGCTTATGATGATACTGTTAGAATTAGAACTGAGAACAATTTATAATTTTTTTTAAAAAATATTTGAAAATAAACAAATCTTGTGCTGATTAACTATCTATGAAAATATGTGACGTTAGAAATCTGATTGTGATCTCCAGGTGATCGGCATGCATTTTATGAATCCTCCTCCTATAATGAAACTTGTTGAGATTGTGCGAGGAGCAGACACATCAGATGAGACATTTGATGCTACAAAAGCCTTGGCAGAAAGGTTTTTGACTTGGATACCTTGAATTCCATGAAAAAGGAAAATTTTCCTTTTGTTCCCCTTGGCAATTTACCGTGCACATTTCTGATTAAGTTACATTTCCTACTCATATAGCCAAATAAATTCCCTGCCATCTTTTTAACTGTGGACTGTTGAATTGGCAGGTTTGGCAAGACAATAATATGCTCGAGGGATTATGCGGGCTTTGTTGTAAACAGGATCTTAATGCCGATGATTAATGAGGCATTTTTTGCACTTTACACAGGTGTGGCAACAAAGGAAGACATTGATGCAGGAATGAAACTGGGAACAAATCATCCAATGGGTCCTCTAGAGCTTGCAGATTTTATTGGATTGGATGTCTGTGTGTCCATTCTGAAAGTTCTTCACGCTGGCCTTGGGGACAATAAATATGCTCCCTGCCCCATCCTTGTACAGTATGTTGATGCAGGTCGTCTTGGAAGAAAACGAGGTATTGGGGTATACGACTACCGTCAAATGCTTGGATCAGTTAATCCCTCATCCAAACTTTGAACTATGGGCGTTTCCAGAATATCTAATAGCCATTGTCTATATGGTACATTGTGGTTCACTTGAAATAATCGTGCAACACATTTCTATTTCAATCTTGACCTGCCAAATATAAAGCTTGAAGGTTCTGAGTTGTAAAGGGGAGCCACTTAAGAGGAATCTTACAAAAACCAATGGCAAAGGGGATCCTCATAGGCATGTACACTGGTTGTGGATTGTATTACTTTTTCCTTTTAATAACATAATTCCCCCAGATTATTGCATTTTCCCCTTGTTCATTTTAATTATTTTCATGGTGGAGGCAATGCCAGGTTAAATATGCACTCAATTTAACTACACATTTCACTGTAAAATATAGTAAATCCGACTATACATTGTTGCTGTAAGTTTCTGTAACCACACCTTTGATTTGAGATAGAAGCATTTTTCTCCATCCATGGTATTTAAAGCTACAAAGGAATCGGTGACTTTTTTGACTCTGGAAACCACAGCGTGGTTGTAGACAGAGGGCGGTGATAGTTACAACTCAATTGAGAGAATACAGTGATTCCACAAGTTGTTGATTGGCACTCACATGGCATGGCTCTCTCAACTCAACTTTACCCGGAAGAGGTGGAGCAAAAAGAGAGCTATTGTCAAACACAAAAATAGTTAATTTGTTTATCAAACATCATCATTCCTCTTAATGGTGATTAGAGTAACAATTACACTTTCTGTTTATCTTGTTTTTCATCCCAGCAATGAAATTTATGCCCACTCTTTACGTAAAGTGTCTTCATCATTCCATCATTGAAATGTGTTGTCTATTTGATGCAGCAGTATATATCCTAATTTTTTAAGGTTCATTTAGCAGCCGAAGTCATGATTTCACAAAATTTGTTTTTTTCCTTCTTTTGAAATTAAGGAAAGGAGGAGGCTAATAATTTCTTAGTACAAGCGATTGGGGGAGGAGGAGGTTTTCTTTTCACAAATATTCATTAGGTGTCTTGCGGTTTCGAACTTCTGCTCACATAGATGAAAGTGAAAGAGCTCAACCAATTGAGCTATACCCCACGTAAAAGAAGGCTAATAATTGGTAATCTAAAACATGTTTGCTTTTATTGCTTGCCAGCTCACTGAGGACTGAGCTCACAAATCTTTAGTATGTGAGAAGAAATCAAGAACAGTCACTCTTGTTCATTATGTATGCTTAAACATGACCCACAAAGGAGAGCCTATTAAAGAGATTTAGCTTCATTGTTGATCATGGCCAGCCCCACAGGCAGACCCTAGCAAGTTCCATTATAAACCTGGCATTATTAGGCAGGCATCTGCTTTATTGAAAGTGATTGAAGTGGAATCCAATGGGCTCTCACTTTTCTTTTTTTTTCTTTTTGTTTAAGTAAAAAACCCCCAACAACATTAATAATTAGATAAGAAAGAAGATAGAAAGGGAAGGCAAAGCTGAACTTTTGCTATACATAAGATTTGGAGGACAATCAGAGAGCAGAGAGTTGAGGTGAAAAAGCTATGAAGTTCTTATTCCAGTGCCCCTGCTGCTCTTGTTTCTGCTTCATGAAGCCCAAGAAAGGCAAGGCAAGGGTGAAGGCAGCAGCAACTGTAGCATCCAAGGATGAGAAGAAGGTTGAAACCAAGGAAGAGAAGAAGGTTGAATCCAAGGAAGAGAAGAAAGAATGACAACAATGCAGCTACCTACATCTGATAGTGCATGCATAAGTGAAAGCATATGTGCTTTGTTTATGCTTTTCTTTCTTTCTTCTTGTTGATTAATATTGGTGGGTGCTATAATTAGTATGTACAACAAATTGTACTTACAGTTTGATCCAGCAGCTTGGTATGTTAATAAACTACTGGCTTGTGTTGTGTGTCCTACTTTTCAAAATCCTACACATAAATAATCAAGTGTCATCTGATCTTTAACCTAAGTTTCACATAATGTAAGTGAGTTTTCCCATTCTCATATAGATCTAATTGTTTTTTTTTTCTGAGAAGATTTCTCTCTCTCTCTCTCTCCAACATGCAAATTTTTCAGGTTCTGATTTTAATGTGAGGATGCAGCATGTTGTTGTAACTTGTAACAGCGAGAGCTGGGATTTGAAATTAGCTCTACCAGTCTGTAGTGCTTTCAATGATACATGTTGCCTGAAAAATCTTGCATATGTTTGCAGATTTTCTTCATTTTTTACCGATCTGATAAATTTCCCTGCCTTACCTGTTGCAAGCAAGCATGTACGGGTGAGGTGTCCACAGTCCATGCCTCTGCCTTTGTTGCCAGTACAGGAACAAAAAGTTCAATTATTTGCTTTGAAGCATAATGCAGATTCCACATTTATGTAAATTTATACAATAACTAAATTCAAAGTTCAAACAGTAACTTCTTTACAACCTTCTGCACTTTTTATTATCTGGGTTTGAGATTGAGTAGTAGCCTAGACAGAATGAACAACTGAATATTTACTTCTTTGGGAAAATGAAAATTTATATGGTTTCAAAGGAACCCAGAGATGGGTAAAATATATATGGGCAAAAATAACAGTACTGGAAGTAAATTAAAATTGATCTCAACCATTATAAGAGTAAAAAAAAACTCTGGTCAGATTTGTGATTTTAATGGTAGAATATGAAGTTCTGTATCAAATCTTTTTACATGACAGTGAGTTCTTACTCTGTCGAATTTTGTATTAGAAACAAATCTTTTGGAGCAAAGAAAGGGACAGATTTAGGTAAAATGCATGTCAATAATTGAGTACGTTCATGTGGCCCCAACCATTGACCTAGCTAACAAAATTATGTCTCCCTCAGAGACAGTCACTGGTGATTCTTAGAATCCGTCCAATTCTGTGCAAGTGAACAGAGAGATAGATCCAAGCAAAGTGTTTTTATCATACCCACGCACATGTGAATTATATATTGATTGGTGTAACATCTATGCTGTAGGAGCCAATGAAACTTTAAAGAGTGAAGGAGAATGGAGAGCCATTAATATGAGAGGGAGGTTCCCACATGTTGGCAAATAAATGGGCCGAATAGGCTTGGGTTTGGGCTTCCATCTTGAGCCTGGGATTAGGCTCTCGCTCTTGCAATGATTGAGCCTAGTTGAGGTTAAGGGTTATGTTGAGGCAAGAGATAGGGACTTATGCAAGGGCCATATGTAAGACACTCACTATAGAATGACTATGTTGAGGAGTGTGTTGGAGGGTAAGCAATAGTCTAAACTACAAGGGAGAGAGATTTATCACACACACACAATTATAATGCTGTGGCGATTCGAAACTGAAACCTCAAGTGTAACACCCCGACTCCAATTATTTCCTATTTTAATTTAATTAAGAGAAAATATTAGTTGCGTAGGTGGTACTGAGACGAAACCGTAGACAGGCGGTAGGCCTGAATCGGAGAGTTAACGAAGTTTTGGCGATCAAAACTTGTTCGGTGGCGGAACCGTAATATTTTGAAAAGAGTTTGGGGTAAAATCTGATTTTTCATTTTTACCCCTCACTTCCTCTCTCTCTCTCTCTCCCGCGTTCCCTCTCCCCTTCGACTTCCTCACAGCCGCCACCTTCCGACCACCCTGTCCGACGAGACCGGTTCCGTTCGAACCGCAGCCTCTCCCTCTCTCTTCCCCGGCCAGCACAGCCCCGGAAACCTTCGGGATTCGCCGGAAAATGCAGAAAAGCTGCCGGAAGTGACAGAACTTCCAGCCGCTCGATCTCCCTCCTCCAGCCACCATTTCCGACGGGTAAGGTGAGGTTTCTCATCCATTTTCTGTGTTTTAGCTGGCTGTGGGATAGGTTTTGATTGATTTGCAGGTTAAATTCACGAATTTGAAACCTAGGTTTTGGCCGGTTTTCAATTTGAAATTCCGGCCACTTGCCGTCCGAATTGGACGTTGCCATAGTTGAAAAAGTTGCTCCATTCTTCGAGTAGTATCTAGGATTGGAAGGGTGGTTCGTAATTTGGTGATTGGTGAGTTTTCCGGCGCCGGAGATTGCTCTACACACCCGGGCGCTGCCGGCGCGTGTGGCGGCGCGTGGGCAAGGCGGGTGAAGTTATTTTTCATCCTAATGAGATCCTTAGGATGTCACGAGTGCGTAGGATTTTGCGGATCTCAATTTGGATATCGTTTGACTATCGAACGGATTTCGCATATTGTGCGTTATCCGGGTTCGATAAGTTCTAACCGTTGGATCGTTTCCAAACTGAAGTATGTTGATCTAGGTACTCTTAGAAACCTATAGGAATTCGCGGATCGTGAATCGGAGCCCCGGATGTTCCGATTCAATAAT